ATTCTTGTCTATTATTATGCCGAGGTAATTTATGTCATTTGTATTTGCAATATCAGGACATTTACAATTTGAAATAGAGGTCATATCACATGAATGTGCTATGATTTTAAATTTATTTGTAATACAGGTTGAATTTCGGATGGAAAACATTACATATTTGGTTTTATCGGAATTTAAAGTGAGACTATTTAGAGCAAGCCAGTGGCACACTATATTGAAACCATCCTGTGCAATTTTGAAAAATTCTTCCCAAGAGTCACCGTAAAACGAGAGGGGTGTGTCGTCAGCATATGAGATTATTTTACAATTTGGGATGTTTAATTGACAAACATCGTTTATGCAGCAAAGGAAGAGAGTTAACTTTTTTATAAGGTTAGACAGGAAGCGCAGCGAAACCACTGGCGTTATGTTAATATATATATATATAAAATAATGAAGTCAATCTCATTTTTTTGTGGAACCGTCGGGGCTCGACCAGGTCCACTTCCTGTGGGGCCGCTTCTGGAAGAAAGAGTTCATCATTAAGAGTCCCTCTTTCTCCATGAACTCAGCCAGCTGCTGGCCCCTTGGGTTCCGTTGCCCTATTCCAAATTTCCCTACTTTCAGCTCACCGTTCACAGTTCCCAGTTTTGCATTGAAGTCTCCCATTAACACCGTGTATTGGGTTTTGGAGGAATGCATGGCTCTAGAAATATCCTCATACATTTCCTCCACCTCCTCGTCGGGGTGTGCCGAGGTTGCTGCGTAAGCCTGTATGACCTTCAGCGAATACCGTTTGGTGATTCTGAGTATAAGGTACGCAACCCTCGTCGACACACTCTCAATCTTTACCGACACCTCCTTGGAACAGATGGTCGCCCTCCCGGTGATAGAGCAAGTTGCCGGATTCGAGGATTACCGTGTCCTCCCCCTCTCTTCGGACTTCGGATAAACCAATAATATGCCAACGTAACTTGTCTATCTCTTCTTCCAGCTCTACGATCTTCTCGTCAGTCCTCAGGATGCGTGCGTTGTATGTTGCCAGGTTGAGTCATCTTAGGTGGTAAACGAACCTCCACCGGAGATTCTTAGCACCCCCTGCCCCGCCGTTACCATGGTCGCCACCGTAGCCAGGAATAGCGGGGCCGCCGGTAATTACTGTAACACAATGTATATTTTTGTAATCTTAGGAAGGACCGGGGTCTCCTAACGTTCACCACAATAATGTCTTCAATGCTCACCACTCCGAATGGCTCAGTTCTCGTACTACTGATAGTGACGGGAGATCAGTTTATGACTTTGTCTCGGCATATGGTTTGACACAACTGGTCACTTCGCCCACGCGGATTCCAGATTTGGAGGATCTCGTCTCTCATCCGGACGGATATCGGGTCTCCGTCAGTGCCCCTCTTTGCTCTTGGGATCACTGCCTGATCCGGAGTACGGTGCCCATCACATGCTCATTGCAGGTGCGATCTGTAAGCTGTCGCGTTTGTGTCACTATAGGTCAGCAGATTGGGATGGGATGCAGGTTTTTTTTGCATCCAACTCATGGGGGCAGATTTGCTTCTCGCTGAATGATCCCAAGACAGTTGCTGAATCCGTCACCGATGTAATGCTTCAGGGAATGGAAGTTTTCCTCCCGTCATTTGTAGTGCCTATCAGCGGTAGATCCCAGTTTTGGTTTGGTCGCTCCTGCAAAATTGCATCAGCAAAAGCAGGGCTCAGGGCTGTCGTAATGACTGAGAAGAAGTGCAACTCTGCCTCCTGGTCCTTCAAAAGAGTTATCGCTAGGGTAAATTCGGAGCACATTGAGAGAATTAGCGAGAAACTAGTTGCTTCCCTTCGGGATCTGGTGCATTCTGGTCTTTCACCAAGGTTGGCCAAGGGAATTTCTGTAAGCCATCATTGTCATCTCTGAGCTATTAGAATTACTCGCTGGCCCACGCCACATATGAGAAAGCCGATTGAATGCTCCAAGCAGGAGTCGAGTTCCGGAACAAACTTGTGTCAAAAGTCAAGTTTTTCTAAATTTAATCTAGTTTAACCCCCAAAAGACAGGTTTTGACCCCAAAAAAGAACCTGTCGTATCTCCTCCATTTTAGGGCACTCCCCTCCTTGCCTCAACCAGCATCGGAATCCTTGGCGTCAACATATCGATATACGTACAGTTCCGCAGTTACTTGGAACGGAAAGCTAAACTGGCATCAAAAAAGCTTGGTGTGCTCAGTAGATCGAGACGTTATTTCATGCCGACCCACCGCTTGCAGCTTCACAAAGCGCAAATTCGGCCTCCTATGGATTACTGTTCTCATCTCTGAGTCGTGGCACCTCAGTACATAGGCTGCACTAAAAGTATCGGGAATGGAATTTTTCCACTGATCCTGTCATATTAAAATCTTTTTAATTGAAAACTCCTTGGTTTTAAAAATCGAATACCATTTATTTATTTAAAAAAAGATTCTCGGTCTTGTCACAAGGTTTTGTCAAACTTGTTTAGTCGTTGATAAAATGGAATTGACTCGAGAAAATTCAAGAGCGATGATTTATTATGACTTTCGAAGTGGTTTAACACAAAAACAGGGTGTTGAACGGATGATTTCTGCATTTGGTGATGAAGCCCCATCCAAAACCACAATTTATCGCTGGTTTGCTGAATTTCAACGTGGACGTGTCAAGCTCAGTGATGATCCCCGTCAAGGCCGTCCAAAAACTGCAGTCACCCAAGAAAACGTTGATGCTGTGCGTAAGCTGATTGAGGAAGATCGACATGTGAAATACCGCGAAATTCAAGCAACTTTAGACATTGGCATGAGTCTAATACAAATAATCTTGCATGAACAATTAGGTGTAAAAAAGTTGTTTTCCCGATGGATACCGCATTCGCTCTGTGAAGAGCAAAAAGCGGCTCGCGTTACTTGGTGCGTCAGAACTCTCGAAAGATTCCACGCAGGATCCCCAAATGCTGTATACAACATCGTATCAGGTGACGAATCCTGGACATATGCGTACGAAACCGAAACAAAAAACCAGTCACGAGTTTGGGTGTTCGAAAATAAGTTAAAGCCAACAAAAGTTGTTCGTTCACGGAGTGTTGCAAAAAAATGGTGGCCACGTTTGTCTCCAAAACCGGCCATGTTACGACTATTCCTCTTGAGGGACAAAGAACGGTTAATGCAGAATTGTATGCTAGTATTTGTTTGCCACAGGTCGTTTCTGAACTCCGTAAAGAGAACTGCAACCGCCGCATCATCCTCCATCACGACAATGCGAGTTCTCACACCGCACACAGAACAAAAGAGTTTTTAGAGCAAGAAAACATAGAATTATTAGACCATCCGCCGTACAGCCCCGACCTAAGCCCTAATGATTTCTATACTTTCCCTAAAATAAAGAATAAATTGCGTGGACAGAGATTTTCATCACCTGAAGAAGCTGTGGACGCCTACAAAACGGCCATTTTGGAGACCCCCAACTTCCGAATGGAATGGTTGCTTCAATGATTGGTTCCATCGTATGGAAAAATGTGTCAAATTTCGCGGAGAATACTTCGAAAAGCAATAAATACATTTTTAAATTGTAATGTTGTGTCACTTCCTTGATTCCCGAAATTTTCACTCGTATCAGATCCTTCCACTTAACCGTATTGGAGAGCCATCGACGACGGCCGAGTTCTTTCCGATCAACTTGATTCACTGGCCTTGCGAAATGACTTTGCATATCTTTGTATATTCTACCGCATTTACCACGGGGAGTCTTAGAGGAATTGTTCGGATTAATGCCAGCTGCTGAATTCCATCATCTTACACTGCGACTTACTGTGTGATTTACACGGGGTTTTCGGCCTCACATGACCATACTGTGGAGTTAACTGTCACCAGTGGTTTTTCCGGACCGATTCGACTTAAGGACCTTCAAAAAAGGGTCTATTTCTTTCTAAAAGGCCGGCAACTCAGCTGCAATTGGTGCCCTGTTGTTGCGGATGTTTATGGACGACGGTGATCACTTACCATTAGGTGAGCCACACTTACTTATTTTTTTTTTTCATTTAAAACTTCCCTGTGCGCTCCTTTTAAGCTTGCGTATCTAGCCATAGGCCTAGTTTGACTTAAGGATAATCCGCCACTGCTTTTAATTCGTTTATATGAAAAGTGATTTAATCGCTTTGTAATTTTTAATATATACTTAGAATATACATAGAGACAAAAGCTCTTTGGACTTGACACAATGACTTATAAAAAATCTTTCGTCATTGGGATGACATCGTTCAAAGAACCGTGACAAAACAATTTAGCAGTAGCAACACTTCTCTTACATGAAAGTCCGTGGAAGCCAAACTCGTCAAAGCTACTACTAACGGGATTGACAAATCGCCGCTCATAGTTTGATTCCTATGGCTATGCGCAAGCTTTACCCATGAAGTAATGTGCCAATATTATTTGATGGTAAATCGAGTCGAAACAGCCAAGGACTGATTTTGGTCCGTTATGAAATAAACCTTTTGCACACTCCGAATCTGTACCAAAGGAGCATCCCACTGTTTTTATTGGATAACTTCCAGTTAACTTTCGCTATATAAAAGAACATTTGCCATGTCTCCGCAGCAAAGCAGAGGTCTACTTTATTATTTAAAATTATATCAAAAAGTCACTGACTATGCTTGGAAGCTAGAAAAGCGGGCAATGCAAACGCTGGAACGATTTCTTACACCGATACGTCCAAATTTTATTAGCAAATTAGCTTGAGTCTAGGCTGTTGTATTAAGGTTTTTTTTAAAATTATATTATGAAGCTCTCAAAAATCATAGAGCCATTTATTAGTGATTGATGTAGAGCCAAAATAAATAACTGACAAAGGTTGTCATTGTCACTTGTCAGTTGCCGAACTAGGAAAAAAAATAAATCGATGTCGAAGTTGATGTTATTGCCTGTAAACTACAGTTTTCGGTTTTATTAAAATTCAAAAAAGTATTGACAAAGTTTTATTAGCTAAATCATTGATACTAAGGTTACATATTTTAGATGACTCTTGGACGCAAATATCAGAATTGTTCCGGGTAAATGCTCATGTTATCCTTATACGAGTGTAACTGGCTATTCATGCATGAAGTTCGGGTCAGGAGTATTATAAATATAACAGGATTGATTTTTCACTATTTATAGGAATGCTGGGGATGCTCGTAAGGTCTATACTAGCCAGTCGAAGTCAGGTACTCTTTCGGGCTGTTCTTCTTCAGTAAGTTTCTAACATATTCTGTGGTTGCAATAATGATTCACCCAAAGCATCGTTTTATACTTAATTCTATATTATGCACTTATATCGAGTTTGCTTTTACTATATTGCAAAATTAGAAGTTTTACTATAGTTAAATTCTTATATAAAATCCTTTTATAATATCTCTGCATCTTTGCATATCTAATAAAACTCTTTATGTGCCTCTGTGCATAGTTTTTCTCAAATTTAAGCTGAATATTAAGTGTTAGTACAATGTTTTGCTTTTCTCTTTTAATGTCAGCTACATAAATTGTAGTGAATGGTTTAGTAGTATTCGGTATACTTATGTATAGTTTTTAAGAGGCCGTCCATTGCAAAATATAGCTGATATTGCAAATTGGACCTCTATAATTGTTCGGCATTAGGTACAATGCATAGGTATGGTATTTTCATGTGCTTCATACTTTATATATAAATGCATGGCATGGGCTGAATTGTCTTTTTTGCTTTGATTCTACTTTTTTAAATAGTAAAAGGAGTTCTTTTTCCATTTCCAAAATGGGTCAGATCCTGAATTGGTTGTTCTTTGTTTGCATATATGATCTAATTTGTGTTAGAGAGATGTATGAGCATGGTGTAAGTGTCCTAAAGTGAATTGAATTTGTTTTTTTTTCTTGCATTTTTTGTAGTCTTTATTTATTTCTGAAACATCTGCAGCCAGTGCATGACATGGTTCAAAAAATTACAATTTTTTATTTCACATCATTGTTTTAATTAAAATATTTAATTTTGCAATAACCGGTCAAATTTGCAGAGAAGGTTCAGAATAAGTATTATAGGCAAATGTTAAATAAAAAATAAAATAAATAAATCTCAAACCTTCTGTTCTTTTTATCTTTTAAATTCAAAATGCATGGTAATGCATTATTGTAACTGATTCTCATTCATAAAATATTGAAGGTCGATCGGTCAGCAAAAAGGTTTAATTTTGGTTACTCTTTGAGACCCTAAATAATCTTGTATAATTTCATATTTTTTTCTTTGTTTACACATAATTCATCATCGTCATCATCATCACAACTACTTATCAAAGTCCAATGATGAACATAGGTCGTAACCATGGGTTTTGTTACAGGGTGGATATTTGCCATAGCTGCCATGCTTGGTTGGCGGGTTGGCAACCACAGTGTTTTATTATTTTGAGTTGTTATCGAGAAGTTATTATTGCACGTCTCCTATTTCATTTCCCTCCATTACCTATTATGACACCCACAGGATGATATGGGACAGGGGATTCTCTAATGCCACGACACAACTACACGGTAGACATGATTATAACAAATCTGCATAATTTCTTGTTAAAATTAATGCTTCCAAAAAATAAGTTGATCTAGTGGTTATTATAAATGCGACTGCTAATCTTGAAGTCCCGGGTTCGAATCCGGGGTCAAACCAAAAAAAATCAGTTATTGAGTTTTTCCATCAAGAATTTCTCAGTAGCTGCCTGTAACAGGAAGTTGGCGGTGTCTCACCCCCGTTCCTCGGAAAGCACGTACAGCCATTGGTCCTGTGCCTGATCTTTCTCCGGTCATGTCAGTTTTCCGTCCCGTCGGACCATGAGAAATAGAGTGCACTTGTGCGAAGAGTAGTAGTAGTACGAAGAGCATCTCCCGCCCTCCCTCAATTGCGTGCACTATCCCCGTCACCACTAATCCCAGCACCGCTACTCCGGGATTAGTGGAGACGGGGATAGTGCACGCAATTGAGGGAGGGCGGGAGGTGCTCTTCGTACTAGGTAAGACACATCATTTTATTTTATAACGCGGATATTTGCAAAGTAAATTTTTGTAAAAGCTTTTATATAATGGATTTCCGCAAAGTAACGCCTGATTCTATTAATTATATTCATCCACTCAACAATTGTAGTAGGAACGACGTTTTGGCATTATAATTTATCAAATAGATAGATAAGTAATATACTTATATATTCAAATATTTAATAATTAACTATACTAAATACTGAACAAAAACTATTTTGACGAGTATTTCAACAAAAAAACAAATAACTATTTACGTATACAGCCTTCAAAAACTAACATTCAATCGCCTAGAATGCGCTAGCCCCGACTGCGTTCTATCCCGGGGCGCCTCGCGATCGTAGGTTATTATTTCACGCAGATACCCAGAGACACAGAGGCCTGTAGATTGCTCAGACCGTGGTCAAATTTATATGGGACCACATGAAAAGCACCATATTTTAAATAAAAAAAATCATTGAAATCGGTTCACCTAGAAAAAAGTTATAAGGGTAACACACATTTAAACAAAAAACATGCAGTCAAATTGAGTACCTCCTGCTTTTTGAAGTCGGTAGAAAATCCATAAAATTGTACACGTCCGCATCCAGCGCAGAGCGGTTCGAATCGTCGACGACCGAGTTTTTTCTAATCGGCTCGATACACTGGCGCTGCGTAGGGATGTTGCATCCCTTTGCATTTTCTATCGAATTTACCACGGGGAGTGCTCTGAGGAATTGTTCGAATTAATTCCAGCCACCAAATTTCACGAACGCACATCGCGTCAAAATTCACGATACCATCCTAACCATCTGGATACTTGGCGGTCCACGACTGTGCGTTTTACTAGGAGTTTTCTTCTTCGCACAACTTCTCTGTGGGATTGTTTACCACCAGCGATTTTTCCGGACCGACTTAGGGACTTTCAAGAAAAGAGCTTACACCTTTCTAAATGGCCGGCAACGCATCTGCAATTCCCCTGGTGTTGCGGTTGTTCATGGGCGGCGGTAGTTACTTACCATCAGATGAGCCGCATGCTCGTTTGCCCCCTCTTCTATAAAAAAGAACACGTTTTTTACGTTATACTTAGTAACATACATTTGTGTTGTAAAAAGCACACTTATACATAAATAGTATAATGTCCCTTTTAATCTAGACATTGGTAGTTTTTCTCATTTTTTCAATCATAACATTATTAAAATATTTCATACAAATTGTCATTTTCATGTAATTCAATTAAAATTTTATTTATTGTTTCCACCAGCTATCTCTATGCGATATGATTGAACCACCGGATTATGAAGAGGTGTGCGAGCGGCTTATGGGTGAACGCGACCCGCTCGCATACCCTTCTAACGACATTGAGCTACTCACCGTGCCACGTCGCATTCGCACGGTCAAACATGTGCTGCCTGATGAAGATTTGTAAGCTATGGTTTTTGTTTTTCTGAAGATTTCTATGTATTCACAATTTTAGAACGTTACATTAGTCGCTTTCCTAGAAATAGGGGCTGGCGATCATGCCAAACATCGTTTTTTTTTTATTACTGCTCATCAAAAGTCCATACCACATAGGCCTCCCTGATAAATGACTTCATATTGGGCATATTTGTCATGCTTGCAAGCGCGTTGGCAAGCGCAGTTTTTTAATTTTAGTCGTTATTAGGAAGACGCTGCTGCCCATCTCCTGATTTGTGTCCCTCTGTCGCCTCTTACGACACCCGCGGGATGATATGTAGTAGTGGATATTTTTAAACCGCCACTACACGGTAACTAGAAATACATTGTGAAAAAAGGAAAGTTTCGAGTTCATGTGAAGTTCGTCAACACGCACTCAAATACCGCGGCGGTAATTGCTCTACCCTCTCAGAAAATACATTTTACATATCCTTTAAATGAAACTAAGTTTTACGGATTTTATCGCGTATGTTAACTTATTTTAAATTCCCGACGTTTCGAGTACTTTACAGCACCCATGGTGACGGTGGGAGGGAGGGAGGAGGACTGAGGTGTTCAAAGTCCCAATGTCATATCAATGTTAATCACGGTTACCTCAGTTTAGTATATGTGTATAAGTAGCAGTTGTATGCTTTGGTTGGGATTTAATCTTATCTCAAGCAGATGGTAACAGCCAGCCATCTTCTCTTTTGAAATTAGGATGTTTTTTGATTTCCATAGCCTCGCAAATAATCATTGGAAGGAATCGGTGTTCTTTAGTGAGGTTTTCTGGTCTATCAAATCTGATGTAGGTAGTGACAGGGGTGATCCGGTAAGTGTTCACGGAGTTCCCAGAGCATCGATACTTCACATTAGCTATGTGTTATTTTGCGCGGGTTTTAATTGATCTTTTAGTTTGCCCTATATCCTATATTTAACTTATCCTGCAGAACGAAAGCGCCGATGTTTGTGCGCGACTGCATCCGATGTTACACATCAGACTACATAGTGGTGGAGTACAAGTACCGAATGTACTCGGGCTCCGCTGGCAGCCGCGAGCGTGTGGCCGAACGGCTTGAGCGGTTGATGAGCGCCCCGCCACAGTACTATGAGATCGACGCGGAGCCCTACGCACCACTTGACGACTTAGCGCTGCAACAGGTAAAAGACAAACTTCTTTGAACAAGCTTGATCATTTTATTGATTTTATTATCTGAAACTTGTAGTAAATTAATAACAACGTCTTCGATGACCCTTTGTAACGGTATGATCACGACTTGCAGTGATTTTGCTCATAAACACATTGTTCATTCATCACATCGCTTGATAAATTGGCACTGGGTAGAGATGTTGCATCTCTTTGCGTATTTTATCGCATCCATCACGGGGAGTGCTCTGAGGAATTGTTCGGACTAATTCCAGCCGCTCAATTTCACCATCGCACATCGCGACAAAACTCGCGTTACCATCCATACCATCTGGATGATTGGCGGTCCACCATTGTGCGATTTAGAAGAAGTTTTCTCCCTCGCACAACTTCTTTGTGGAATCAATTACCACCAGCGAATTTTCCGGACCGATACGACTTAGGAACCTTCAAGAAAAGAGCTTACACCTTTCTAAAAGGCCGGCAACGCATCTGCAATTCCCCTGGTGTTGCGGTTGTTCATGGGCGGCGGTAGTCACTTACCATCAGGTGAGCCGCATGCTCGTTTGCCCCTTCTCCTATATATATAAAAAAAAAAACATCATGCCAAAGTCCACAGCTAAAAATAGGCCTTCCCATAGAATGGCTCATAATGGAGATATTTGATTATTAATTTTAATTTTTTAGATGTTATTAGGAAGACGCTGCTGCCCTTCTCCTGGTTTGTTTCCTTCTATAGCCTCTTACGACACACACGGGGCCATATGAGGTTGTGGATATTCTTACACCCTCTTTTTATACCATTCAAACACATTTTTTTTTCATAAAATTAAAGTTTCAAATGAACAGTCTTCCTGATGTTAAGTATCAGCGCCTGCAAACAATTAATTCTACAGATGCGTTATCACCTCTGAGGACTAAGGTTAAATGCCTAACAACTTTAGACGAATGTTTATTGCTTTGGACTCCAATCCCGCACGGAACAAGTATTTGTCTAGATTTTTTTTTATAGGATAGCGTGACAAACGAGCACACAGTCCACCTGATGGTAAGTGGTTGCTGTGACCCATAGACATCTACATTTATCCTCAATAAAGAATCAAAATGCAGATGCGTCGTCCGTGAGGACTAAGATGGAATGCCTCTTTTCCAGTAAGATGGGTCTTCGGTTCTCTACACCCACTAGATATTTCATCATCATCATCATCATTACAGCCCTTCACAAGTCCACTGCTGAACATAGGCCTCCCCCAAAGAATGCCACAAAGCACGGTCCTGAGCCACCTGCATCCATCGATATTTGTGTTGGTGCAATATATGTATGTAAACTGTCCTCACGAGAAGCAGGAGAAAATCCTAGTGGTGGGTATTATGTAAAGAAAAAGAGAAGCCTGTAATTATTCTGGCTTTCTGCCAAAGTAGCCCTTGAGACCGGAAAAAGTAGTGCACCCACTTGGCAGCAATAATAGGTAAGAGTTATCTACCCACCCAGATGGACTTACAGGCAGAAAAGAAGTTCTAACATCTTTAAATGACTCCAAGTGTACATTTTTGGTGTGTGGTAAAATACAAATATGTTATGCTCTCTTAAAAATCTTAGATAGCCACGCCATCATGAATCGGGTTGTCCACTTCTCTTTAAATTAGTCATGGATGATGATTTCTACTGCATGCGTCATACTTGTGACGCCTGATCTGCTTGGACTTAAAAACTTAAAATACTATTACCTATGAATTAAAATTATGTATATATTTTGCTATAAAATATGTCCGATTATTTGTAGTTCTATTCCTTTTTCAATGTTATCATCATATCATTTCCTACATATTTATTATTGACTAAAATATCAAAAAACATTACGATATTTCTTTATAGAATATGTGTGACAAACGAGCACACAGTCCACCTGATGGTAAGTGGTTGCTGTGGCCCATAGACATCTACATTTATCCTCCGTTTGCGAATCAAAATGCAGATGCGTTGCCACCCGTGAGGACTAAGATGGAATGCCTCTTTTCCAGTAAAAAGGGTCTCCGGTTCTCTACACTCACCAAACGACCCACAGCAGCATTGAGCTGCTATTTTACGCTGGTATTCTTTGAGAGCGTGGTCCTACCCCGGTCGAGGCGACCCATTTGTGCTACAATCATGTATGTGTTGACTGGTAGAGAACGCTTTAAGACGTTTAGTTCGCCTTTGTACATTTTTCAACGAAGTTAAAATAAATACATAAAATATGTTTAAGTTTCTTTCGCCCTTTCTTATCCTGTCAAAGAAACTTATTTTAAAACATTATATTTTTAACATTCTTTATATCAAATATTTTCAAAGATATTACCTGTAAAATATAGTATTTGGCGGGAATAACATAGTGTGTAATATATAAAACATAGTATTCAATACTTTATTTTTAAAAGGATATTTTTGCTGGTTTGATCCTTTATTAACAGCGTCATGGCAAATATAGCCTTCATTAAAATAGAGAAGAGATAAAAATATTTAAAGAAAACTTACATTTCACAAACAATTTAATTTTCTAATAGAAGAAAATATTTTTATAATATAAAATGTAAGTTCCAAATATTTTAAATAGGTTTACTCAAAAGCCGGAACCACGTCACTTAACTTTAAAAAGCTTGTAATATTTGAACAAATATATTTCCGTCAGTGTGAATCTCAACCATCCAGCGGAAGGCAGTCTGTTGCATCAATAGCGTCATCACTTTCCTGCAACGAAACCCTAACTCCTCGAGGCTCTTGGGCAAGTTTAGACCTCCAGAGCTCGTCATCAGATCCTCTAATACCAGATCTGTTTGAAAAGAAACCACCTGAACAGATGGATGCAGTGAATGAGGCTAGAAGGTAAGTTATATTTATGTGGATTAAAGTTTTATATATATTTTTATATAGCTATCATTTATTTACATGGCTAAATCTTATGTGGATAAAAATTATGTCCATCTGACCAAATTTTGATCACGGCGGCCAGTCTCAACGGAGATTATTCCCCTAGTCGAAACAGGATTATGGTGCACGAGTATATGCCATAGACAGGTGCACTCTCTATTCCACTACTGTCATAATTCGATGGAACGGCAATCCAGAGGCACGGGGGTGAAAAAACTTACTGACTGCAAACTTTTCACTGAAAATTTCTTGACAGAATACCTTGATTGCTGATTTTTGACCAGACCTAGGATTGGCAGGAGGACCACAGGATCACAGGACACATCATGATCACCAATTGCACTTACGAAGACTAAAACAACGAGGCAGTTATGTAGTTTGATGCTTCACTATCAGCCTAGATTTGTGGTCCTGGGATCTCTGTCTGGAATGCAAGTAGAATGAAATGAAGGATTATAATGAAGGATGTAATCGTGAGCCACTGTGGCCATTTATTATTTCGAAATCTGAATAATAAATGGCCACATGATTTCCGAATCTCGACAACAGAGCCACCCACCGGGTCCATTTGTGAATCTAAGCCATTCTCGAATCAACTTATTAAACCAATGAGTTTTGCCACTATGAAATATTTATCTTTTGCATTAGATTGGAAAACCGACAAGCTGATCTTCTTGGTCTGTATACTCCGTACCTTGATGAAGAGGAGGCAGTTGAGAGACGTCTCGCAGCTGAAATGCCCTGCGAGGTGATGGGCCATAGGATTTTGGTTGTCTGTCATCAGTTAAAGTAAGTATTTTGGCAAATGGTAGAATTACATTTGTAAAAACAATAATTAATTAAATATTTATTAGAAAAAATATTTATTAAGATTCTTATTAATTTTACACATTTCAGGTTAGAGCTCGATGTGGAACCTCTGTTTGCTTCGATGGCATTATTCGACGCAAAAGAGAAAAAGAAACTTTCAGAAAACTTTTATTTCAATCTAAATTCAGAAGCAACGCGCCAGATGCTCTCAGCCCATGTGCCCCACGCAGATGTATCTACTTTGAGCCGAAGCGCTGTTTTCGATATCGTGAACCCTTCGCCTGATATCTTCCTGGTTGTTAGAGTCGAGAAGGTTCTGCAGGGAGATGTTAATGAGTGCGTTGAACCATACATTAAGGATGATAAGGTACAATCACCATTCATTCGATTAAGGCACAGTTACGATTAAATTCGATTTTTTTACCATAGCCGAATATAAATGTAATAATTTAACATTTGAATATGCAACATACGAATAATTTCGGAGGACAATTGATTTGTCAAATAAATTTACATTAGCAACTATGAAAAGTCTGCAGTGTTAACCCGTTACACATGTTGTACAACATCGATAAACACAGATTATTATTTAATTGTAATTTTGTAGTTTTATATATCGTAAACCACACACAGTCTAAACTTATTTGGCTAAGTTAGAGTGGTGAACAGGAAAACTAGTGTTTTTTTTTTAAATTTATTTTTGATCCTGATAAATATTAAAACGTCTCTCCGTCTAGAACCGCGAAAAAGTGCGATTAGGCGCACAGGCCGCTTGCAACCGGTTGGGACGATACCGTATGCCGCTGTGCTGGAGCGCCGTGTCGCTGCTCAACGTGCTCAGCGGCTGCAACAGCCTCGAGCGCGACGCGGACAGGGACGCGACCGCAGCCAGCGCACCGGCCAACGCCAACGCCAGCACCAACGCCAACACCAACAGCCTCGGTGACGTATCTGTCGTACACACAGCGCCGTGTCGCTGCTCAACGTGCTCAGCGGCTGCAACAGCCTCGAGCGCGACGCGGACAGGGACGCGACCGCAGCCAGCGCACCGGCCAACGCCAACACCAGCACCAACGCCAACACCAACAGCCTCGGTGACGTATCTGTCGTACACACAGCGCCGTGTCGCTGCTCAACGTGCTCAGCGGCTGCAACAGCCTCGAGCGCGACGCGGACAGGGACGCGACCGCAGCCAGCGCACCGGCCAACGCCAACACCAGCACCAACGCCAACACCAACAGCCTCGGTGACGTATCTGTCGTACACACAGCGCCGTGTCGCTGCTCAACGTGCTCAGCGGCTGCAACAGCCTCGAGCGCGACGCGGACAGGGACGCGACCGCAGCCAGCGCACCGGCCAACGCCAACACCAGCACCAACGCCAACACCAACAGCCTCGGTGACGTATCTGTCGTACACACAGCGCCGTGTCGCTGCTCAACGTGCTCAGCGGCTGCAACAGCCTCGAGCGCGACGCGGACAGGGACGCGACCGCAGCCAGCGCACCGGCCAACGCCAACACCAGCACCAACGCCAACACCAACAGCCTCGGTGACGTATCTGTCGTACACACAGCGCCGTGTCGCTGCTCAACGTGCTCAGCGGCTGCAACAGCCTCGAGCGCGACGCGGACAGGGACGCGACCGCAGCCAGCGCACCGGCCAACGCCAACGCCAGCACCAACGCCAACACCAACAGCCTCGGTGACGTATCTGTCGTACACACAGCGCCGTGTCGCTGCTCAACGTGCTCAGCGGCTGCAACAGCCTCGAGCGCGACGCGGACAGGGACCCGGTCATAGATAACGCACCGGCCAACGCCAGCACGAACACCACCACCACCACCACTACCTTCACCGCCGCCGCCACTATCACCACCACCACCACTACCACCACCGCTACCACTACCACTACCACTACCACCACCTTCACCACCACCACCACCACCACCACCATCATCATCATCATCATCCTCATCATCATCAACAACAACAACAACACTACCAACTCGAACAGCCTCGGTGACTTATTTGTCACATACACATTGCCATGTCTTATATAGGGCAATGTATACGTTTTTACAACAAAGCCCCAAAAATTACACGGTTTACTTAACTTAACTTTAACTTATCTTCACGCACAATCCCTGACGGGGTAGCCAGAGAGAACAGATCGCCAAGTGTCACGATCCTTACATACCTCTTTCGCTTCTTTCAGATTCATTATCTTCTTCATACATGCACGTCTAGGTATCCGAGTACTCTTGACCCTACCCTCTTCGAGCAATTTGCTCACATGGTCTTCGAAAGTTAGTCTCGGTCTACCTCGACACCTTTTAATATTAACTTTCGCGCTATATATTTTCTTCACCATTCGGTCTTCACTCATTCGCTCAACGTGCCCAAACCACCGAAGCACGCCCTTATCAATTTTTGTGATAAGGTCATCTTTCAAACCTGCCATATTGCGAATCTCTTCGTTTCGCTTTCGGTCGGCCATGGTAACGCCGCACATTTTACGAAGAGATCGCATCTCCACTGCATTCAACTTGCTTTTATGCTTCTTCTGGCATACCCAGGTTTCGCTGCCATATAACAAAGTCGGTACCAACACTGCGTTATGTATTGCAAGGCGTGCACTCTTCACTACGCCTTGCCTTTTGACTAACGCAGTCAGGGCACCATTGACTTTGTTCCCGGCAGCGACACGCCTGTCCACATCTAAATCACATCTTCCATCCCGGCTAAAAGCACTCCCCAAGTATACAATTTCATTTACTTGTTCTAGACATTCCTGATTTACCCATATTTCACACTTCGTTCTCTCTTCGTCCCTTTCAAATACCAGAACCTTAGTTTTATTAGCGTTCAAACGGAGACCTTTAATTTCACATTCCTCTTTCATACACGTGACTAATGCCTGCAGTTCTGCCTCTGATGGTGCAATAAGCACTGCATCATCAGCATACAGCAGACAATTTACTTTAATGTCACCCAATTTCACACCCAAACAGCTATCTTTCAGCTTTTGTAAACAGCTGTCGAGATACAGTATGAACAGCCAGGAAGACATGACACAACCCTGTTTTACGCCCGTTTGGACGCTAAACATGGGTGACAGGTCATGCCCTACCCGCACACAGGCTTTACAGTCACAGTAAAGAGACTGCACAGCCCTTAGCAATCGACCATCCACACCATACCCCGGCAACAGTTCCCACATTTTCTTCCTTACAACCTTATCAAATGCTTTCTCAAGATCCACAAAAGCACAGAAAATCTTCTGGTTAGCAGCCAGAAGCTTTTCCGTGATCATGCGGAGAGAAAACATTTGATCCGTGCATCCTCTTCCAGGTCTAAATCCGCATTGTGCCTCCCATAGAAATCTTTCCGATTTCTCTTGCATCCTACGTGTCAAAACCTTCGAGTAAACTTTACTTGCTAAACTGGTCAAGCTGATCGCCCGATAGCACCCGCAGTCAAAATGTGAACCTTTACCTTTATATAAAGGCACAATGACTGCGGATCGCCAATCATCCGGGACATCCCCCGTCCGCCAGCACAAATTGCACAGCAGATGAAAGCTGTCCCAGACGCGAGGCCCACCATACTTGACCATTTCAGCAGTAACTCTGTCTAGTCCCGCAGCCTTACCACATTTCAAACTTCGAATCGCACGTTCAATCTCTTTCATACTGATGACCTCAGTGTCATCGAGGTCCGGGTCTGGCGTACCAGTCACGGCGTCATCCCCGGATCCCTCACTAAGATCATCACACGCATACATTTCTCTATAAAATTCGCTCCATCGCTGCATGACGTCCGATTTTTCTGAGAGGACGTCATTAGTTCTCGAAAGCAATTTGTTCATTCTTAAGGCCGTCGCACCACTTCGGGTCCTTCCAACCTCTTTCCAGAAGAGTTTGGAGTTCTCCTTAAAGTTGTGCGACAACCTTTCGTCCGCTTCCATTCTACACCTTTCACGCACTTCCTCAATCAATGCTTTCGTGTGAACTTTCTGCAGCCTATATCTTTCTTTCATCTTCTCTCTCATATCCTTATCATTACTAGAGGCCAAGTAGTCTAACCATGCTTTCTTCTTCTTCTTTACAGCTTCTTTCACTTCATCATTCCACCATGCATCTCTTCTTTTACTACTGCCTCTTTTTATTGTTCCACACACTTCTTCCGCTGCACTTACCATTCCATCCCTAAGGTTCTGCCATGTTCTTTCTACACATTCGTTTCTGCCATCGATGGTGTCAAGCTTTTCGGCTACCCTCGCATGATATTTGTCCCTAGTATCCGCTTCCTGAAGCTTCCAGCTTCGGATGCGACAGACCGACTGTGGTTCTGTCACTGCCGTCCGGTAGCGCCAACCCGCGAACAGACCCCTAAATCTAGTAATCACTAGATAGTGATCCGTTCCCAGGTCAGCACCCCTGAACACTCGCGTATCCATAACCTGTTTTCGCAGTCGGTCATCCACCAGGAACAAATCGATCATACTTCTCTCATTCTTTCTTTCTCTAGTATACATATGGATCTTCTTGTGATTAAATATAGTGTTTGTCACAAGAAGACCCTTTTCCTTGCATAACGCCAGTATAAGCTTGCCAGCATCATTAACCCTTTTATCGCCAAACTTTCCAAGTCCCGACTCGTACCCTGGTCGAGCGGTACCAACCCATCCATTCAAATCACCACATACAACAATTCTTTCGTTTCCCCTAGCCAAATCTAGAACTTCTCTTACATTCTCCCAAAACTCCTCCAGCTCAGCCCTGGACGACGAAGCTACCGGCGCATAAACAGCCAAAAGGAATAACTTCGTCAGTCCCAATTTAAAGCGAACCCAGAGAAGTCTTGAGTTCACAAATTTATACTCAGTCATAACATCGACCAACCGAGAAGACAGCAGCACCCCCACTCCCTGGCAGGCGTTCTCGCTCTCCGGGACTCCGGACCATAGAGCAAACGCCCCGCCAGGGAGCTCTTCAGTACCACTGCCCTTCCGTTTGGTCTCCGACATACACACGACATCTATATTCTCTTTCTTTCATTATTTCGATCAACTCATTCGTCTTATCTCTCATGCCTCCTCTAACATTCCACGTGCCAACTCTGCACTCTGTCCTCCACCTTCCGCCGTGTCGGGCTGTGCGTGACGGGTGGCGGTCCCCATCGCCTCTTTGCGCGCTGCATTCCAGACCAACGGGGACGAGCTGGTGTGCGTTGCCTTGGGGGACGCCCTAACCCTCGTTGGCATGGGTGCGCAGCTGAGTAGAATTGCAGCCCTGAAAAGGGCTGGCAGGGGTCGCGACGAGCACGCTTCTACAATGACCCCCCGGTTTACCTATCAAAAATTTTAAATAGTATACAGTTATTTTGCAATAACCGTCCAAATTTGCAGAGAAGGTTCTAAACCTTACCATTTGCCTATAAAGTAATATAGGCAAATGGTGAAGAAAATTTAATGAAAAAAAGTCAAACATTTTGTCCTCTTTATCTTTTAAATTCAAAACGCGTGGTAACGCATTATTTTAACCGATCGTCATTCATAAATATCTAACGCCTACTATTTTACTACACATGCACAAATTCGTAAGGGTCGATCGGCCGGCAAAAATGGCAAAAGCACACAGAGGAGCGCGCGTACGCGTAGTTGTTGCCCATAAATTACATTCAATTTGTAAATTCACTTGTATTTTCAAAAACTATAATAACAGTATATCATTGTTTATATATTTGATCTTAACTTTAAAATTTGGCTACTCTTTGAACCTTTTACCTCTGAGAATAAGGTGATCACTGCTATTTATAAAAGTTTTTTTGATTAATTGTACAACACACGTTATGAGTTATAAAAAGCCCCACTGGGTTACTTCTTGCATCTTTCTTCCAAACCATTAATAAAATCATAAATTACTTTCAATAAGTATTACTTGTAATCTATATTAAATAAAAATATTTCATTCAATGCTTCATATGTATTTGAATGGTCAATACTCTATATATAAATATACAAACTGGTAGAGCCGTAGTATCTTTGTTATAGAATTAGGGTGACAAACGAGCACACAGCCCACCTGATCGTAAGTGGATGCTGAGGCCCATAGACATCTACATTTATCCTCGATTAAGAATCAAAATAGAGATGCGTTGTCACCCTTGAGGACTCAAATCGAATGCCTCGTTTCCAATAAAAAAGGTCTTCGATTCTCTACACTCGCCATACAAAACACAGCAGCGTTAATCTGACTGAGCCTGACAAAAGCCTTTTTTTCTTAATCAAGAATAGATGTACCCGTAGACCATAGCATCAACTTACCATTAGGTGGTCTGTGTGATCGTTTGTCACCCTTATTGTATTAAAAAAATATATGTACTTTTTGCAGACTGTTGCTACACTGTCATTTTAACATCATCAACAAGTCCACTGCTGAACATAGGCCTCCCCAAAGGAATGCCACAAAGCACGTTCCTGAGCTACCTGCATATACTTCCTGCATGCCTTACCAGGTTGTCACTCCATCTAGTGGGGGGCCGCCCCACACTACGCCTGCCGGTACGAGGCTGCCACTCGAGCACCTTTCCTTAATAATCACAGTTACTTAAATATTACTAATTGTTTTATTCAATTTGCAGATCGTAAAGCGTCATCCAGTAGCCTGGAACAGCTCCGACGAAGGGCTGGTGAAGTTGGCGGCTCCCTAACTCGCAAAGGCTCCGTAGAACGAAGAGCGATGCCCGTACAGCAAACAGACGAGCTGATTGCACAATTAGATACCTTCAAGCCAATCGTCATAACTGTCACAAGCTTTTTCAAGCAGGTGAGAAATCATTACCAATTTATTTCAGTTAAACATATTTCTTATAACTATTGCTGTCTATGACAATGAGGGCTAATCTTCCGGTGACCAGATGTCGCTAGTTGACACTCAGGTAAAGTTTTTTTTACGCAATGTCATTGAGAAATTAGTTTTAAATAAACGTTTATCAATTTCTAAAATATTATGTTAATACACAAAACAATGTCTCACTTGTTTGCTCTGTAATTTTTTGCATTATAACTTTTTTAATTTTGTATAAATTGAATGAATATCTGTAAATTTGTTTTATTTATTTTTGTAGTAATGTATATAAAATTTATAGCACAGAAAGAAACATTAACATTTACATTTTCCGAACAAATCCACTTCCCCGCTATGAAATCTGTCAAATATTAGACCTCGTTTTTAAGTGGCGCCGCTCTGGAGGCAGAAAAAGACGTGGATGCCCTACTTCACAGCTGCTGTCTTAATCGCACATTACATATCTTCATCGACAGAGCATAAAATCCATATCTAGACAGACACTTTCGATTTATTTCTTTTATCGATTTTGATCATTGTTGAAATGATTTCATTGGCTGCTAGTTAATTAAATAAATTTTCATTAGCTGGATGGTGCATGATATTTTATAACATTTCCCTAGACAATTTCTACAATCATATGAATAAAATAACGTGATTAAGGCATTTATACCGTCCCTTTAGCATAGACATTTTGTAATCTTTTATATTATTTTTTTATCATAATAAACAGTCACTCACAAATATCTATCATCATAAACTAAAATGAGGACAAGTATGCTTTCATGGCCTTTCTTAGTTAGAAATTTGTACAATTACCTACACTTCTTTTTGAAACGAAAAATGATACTTATATAATATATACTTTTGCATTACTTTAGGAAACCGATAAGCTCCGCGATGAAGATCTTTATAAGTTTCTAGCAGAGATTAAAAGACCGAGTTCAGCACCAAAGAAACTGAAATGTATTCCTGGTACTCTCAAGATTGAAGTGTCACCATGTCCCGATGAAATCAAAAATGGACTCACTCCAGAACTGGCTAAACTAAATCCTTATGGAGGTAAGTGTTTAATAAATATTTTGAAATATTAATATTTCGTGCAATGAGGCAATAACAAAGTTATTCTGATATTTAGAATTTTCATATAGTATACGGGTGACATACGAGCGAGCGAGCACACAGTCAACCTAAAAGTAAATGGATGCTGTGGCCCATAGACATCTACGCATCGACATAGATTGCCACAACATACGGTCCTGAGCCATTTGTGTCGGTCGCATGTTGTTGCATGTGCATTTGTATCACACGAGCATTATATGGCTGCAGAACGAATGGTTTGGCTTAAACGTAACGGAAACTTCACGGTCGGAAACTAGCGTGAAATAAAACCATGATGATGTTGCGTGTAGTGAGTGACGAAAACTGAGTTTCTATTTTATTGCTGGCGAAGACATTTCATTTAAGTCCTCAGGGTGACAAAGCATTAGCATTTTGAACACAATTGAGGATGTATATATTTGAGTATCTAGTATATCTATGAGTTACAGCGTCCACTTTCCAATAGATGCACTGTGTGCCCGTTTGTCACCTGTGTGTTAATGGTTTGTACTGTTGTACTTTTCCAGTGTCAGGTAATTAAGAAATTATCCTTTAATATCTTCGATTAACAATATCAACCAGATATCGGGTCGGCGCAAAAAATACGTCCCAGTAAATAACAGCGCACTGGAGACGTGAGCTCTTATTTCGTTTAGTTGACTTGAAACACAGCCAATGTAAACACGTTTCACAATGCCGCAATGTGTATTTAAAAGTTGCAATAATGATGCCCGAAAAAGCAATTTAACGGCCGAGGTGTTTTACTTTCTGTAAGTACATGTAGAATAAGTTGTATTTTAAGCTCTAAAGTAACAAATAATATCATATTTGATTTTAAAGCACCCCTACAAATGTTTTGCCAAGGTTGGCCAATACAAGCGTAAATATTTGTGAAACAGAACAGTAGATGCATGGAGTGGATTTGTATTGTAATCATTTTTAGTAATTTGTTACCAGAACTTTTAAATAACGGTAATTGCTACTTTTGTCTCTATTTGTGTAATTTCATTAGATACTTAGCTTTATTGTTTTTATTTTTTATTTATTATTCTTTATTGCACACCAACACAATGAAGTACGCAATGGGCGGTCTTATTGCAATTTCTTCGAGACAACCAATGAATGGACAGGATTACACGAAGATAACAGGGTTAGGGCAAATGGTGTGATAAAAAAGAATACCTACACATATTTATATATATAATATCTAATTAAATGCAATATATGCAATATATAAATAAATAATACAAAAACTAAATAAATATATATTGAATAATCTAATTAAATGCAATCATTATACTACATACTATATTATATTTAATGGCTAGTGTGGAAAGTAAATATAGAATAGAATCATTTTTATTCAATATGGATTATTACATAATACTTATTGACGGGTCGCTCGGCAGAGGACGCGAGCGCCGGACGCGAGTGCGAACCAGTTGGGACGGCCTGGAATTTTACGCGTGGTGTTATCTTAATTTGTACGTTTCGTGATAACGGGGCTTGTCTTAAAGTATTGGGAAAGAATTGTTGCTTGACGGCCGGTCGGTTAATTAATTGTTATGGGAAGTTAATATTGAGTTGCAGTTAAGCTAGTAGAACCGCGTGGTCGCGTGCCAAAAGGCCTCTAATTCGTGTCGTCTTTGTTAGTACGTTTACGTGACGACGAGGTGTTTTTCTTGAGTTTGAGAGTTAACCTCGGTTGCAAGTAATTTACGTCAATTTATATAGTGATTGCATGTTGAAGTGCATTTATCAATATTTATTTTGCTTGTGTTGTATTTTAATATTCGTACTAAAGAATTTTTGCTTTGTCGTGCGGAACGCTAACTTTGTGACCCGAGAGAAGGTCGTGTTCGGTTTCAAGAAGTAATTTTGTGCTAAGTGAACCCAAAGAGAATATAATCACTACGTTTATGAGGCGGGACTTCCATAGTAAGAATAATTGCATGAAATTACGCCAAGTTACTCTACTAACATCAAGATATGACATTTAGTTTTGAGAAACAGTGCTGGCAACATTGACGAATTACAATAGTGCTGTAAATGTCTATCCTCGAATAATTTTATCGATATAACGTTTATCGATATATTGTTTATCGATATTTTTACATAAGAAAAGTTAGATCTCTATACTGAATTATTTATATAATTAAATAAATTATTTATAGAAATAAAATTTTTAACGTGTGGATTGAGTAAAAATGCCGGTGAGGATTAGAAATCAATGTATTTTACACACAGCAATTTGTATTTATATCTCTACAATTAGGTACAAAAGTATGTATAAAGAAAATATAAAATAAAAAACGCACTTTTATACTAGTAATTAATTAAGTAAAAAATAAATGACGACTCCGTAGCGCAGTGGCTAAGCGTTTGGCTGCGACACTGCAGGACCGAGGCTTCCTTCCCGCACTGAACTATTGTTGCTATGCTGTAAAATAAATAGTCTGCGTCTGGATGCTTGTTTTCAACGTTAGTTTTTTTAAGGGTAAAAATATTGGGTTTTAAGACTGATTGGATTAAATTGCTTTTATGTGTAACAAATACTATGTAGAAATCGCTAGGCTTCTTCACAGAGGCACCTATGTACATACTATTCGCAGAGATCATTTACTAATTGTCGCTTTCAAAATAAGTGCTTATTATAGCTAATGTTTATTGATGAATAATATGATGATTTAGTTATATAATCTAATTCTTAACAAAATGTGACTTTAGAGGGATATTATCTTTTGCTACATGTAAATGATACCTAATTAACATACACATAAATTGTGGAAGTTTAAAGTAAGTCCACTAAAGAAATAACAGTTCGTTTTAGTTGGGTTCATATGCAATGTTTGTCACAAATATGTCTTAACATGTGAATCTTTTCAATTGGTGCATGTGCCAGCTATTTCACCCATTGCTTGCATCTGAAAAAATAATATAAATAAAATCACATTATTATTGAATAAATAGAATGTTAACAGTCAGAATTGACTTGTAGTTTCTAAGTATAGTTCGTTTCGGATTGCCAAACCATCGAACTATCAGATTTAGGAAATAGTGTGTTTGTATTCGTACACTATAAAAACATGTCCTACATAGATGGCTAGTCCAAAAATATACTCGCGTTGAATATCATATTACTATTAAAGTTGAAATCACCACATACCTTTCATCATCGAAGGGAAATATTGTTACGAATAGCCTTTTCTTGTTATCATTTTTTCCGCTTCTTGCACCATTTAATTGGAAAGTTTTATAATGCATATTTTAATTTCTTAACAATTCTGTAAATGAACAACGGCTCCTATAGCAAAATTAAAAGCAATCTTAATTAGTAAAATATATACAAATATAATTGTTTGATTTGACATTTGAACCTATTTCATTTGACAATGTCGTTAATAGACATATCACGAAAAGCATAAAGAAGAGTAACCGTCATTAAAATTTGACCCCTGTAGTACATATAATTTTTACTATGGAAGTTGCACCAGCCTGAGTAAACCTGGAACGTTGAACTTTGACTGACCGTTCTGCGGTTGTGCCGTGTGTCACATGTTTGATTCCGATTAACGTGGATATAGTTGAATTTGAGGTTGATTAAATGTACAATAAAGTTGATAAACGGAAATAGTGAAATAATAGCAGAAAGGATCGCACATTTGGAGAAAAGCAGCGCCGGTGGATATGCGGTCCGACTAAATCGGTTAAGTCAGGTTACACCCACACACTACTACCTTTACACTTACATACCACCCACTTGTCCCTGACTTCGCTTTGTGGTCGACCCTACCTCCGGAATTCGGTAAGTTTTTATTTGCTTGTCAGCCGTTTTAGAATAATTGTCCATAGGCCATTGGGCTCCGCCCTCTGTTGCTCGTCGAGGGGGCTACTATGGGCCCTAGCCCAGTCGACCTTTGTCGAGGCAACTAAGGGCGTGAACACCTGGGAAGAAGCAGCAAGAAACCCAGCGGGACTTTTTTTTAAACATAATTTCACTTAACAATAATTTTGTTTATACAATTTTAAATGAATTTTTTTATAGAACCAGCAAGGTGGCGATCACCTTATTCCCAGGGGTTATTTTAATTCATATATTCCTTGATATTATAATAACCCTTTTTGTACAGTTTTTCTTTAATAAAACTTTTAAACTTGTTTATTAACAAACTTTGAAGCGTATACATTGCCCCATAAATGAGTTACTAATTCTGTGGAGTCTAGTAACTGGCATTACAAGCTTATGTTTGTACCTAGTGTTTAAGGTATGAACATCCTTGTTCTTATTAAAGCTATTTATGTTTTTATGTACATACATTACATTTTCATAAATATATTGCGATGCCAAAGTAAATATGTTTATTTTTTTAAATTTTTCTCTGAGGGACTCTTTACAATTTAGATTATAAATCGCCCTTACGGCTCTCTTTTGCAAAACTAATATAGCTCCAATATCAGTCGCATTACCCAATAGCAAAATTCCATAAGACATTACGCTATGAAAGTAACTACAATACACTAACCTAGCTGTCTCAACATCTGTGAGACTTCTAATCTTTCTTACAGCATATGCTGCAGAACTAAGTCTGCTTGCTAATTTAGATATATGGGGGCCCCATTGAAGTATGTATAAGTGGTATGTTATAACACTGTTTAGGGCGTTACTCACCGGCTACGGTTATCGGAGAGTCAAGGGACTCGAGGATCAAAATAAAAGTATCCCAGGGCGCCTGTTGTTGGATGATTAGTAAATGAAAATGCTAAGATACATATACAGACAAAAAGTAGTTTATTTCCTTCTAAAGTTCACATATATAGCTCCAAATATCAAGTTTTCACTTTAAAATACCCTACGAACTGAGGTTTTGACTAACCTGGTGGATTACACAATATTACACTGTTTATGGTCAATCCCGCGTAGCAGTGAGGCAACAGATATCCTCCAGGTGTACGCCGGTCGC